TGTAAGAGACAAACCCACTAGTTGGGCACAGCGAGTAGGCTATCCAGGATACGAAAATAGCAGTGTCCCAACAGTTACAAACTAGTAAATAAGAACAAAGTCGTCGGCAGGTAAAAGTGCACGTGCGTGTTGTTTGTCTTATTCAAAGTTGTATCGAAGCGTATTGTAACTGATTAAAACAAAACAGACTTAAATGTCACTACACTCTTATAACATTTTGGACTCGGCAGGATGTCAGCTTTTAAATGCACTTCTTTTCACTCTCCTGTAGAAAGCGTGCTCGGTAAAATATGACTACTTAAGTAGCATGCATTTTTCCCATTGATTTTCGATAGTCTTGGAAATTCAAATATATTTTATAGAAACCACAAACAAAAATATGCTTTCTTTTAGTCAATCAATAGAGAATCACGTCTTCTTTATATTTTATACTTAATAAAGGAGTATAATTAGGTTTAAAAAAGGTTCTAATTATGAGACTTTTTAAGACCGCGATATGTCCAGTCACATAGCATCGTACCTGGCCGTTTACCACTGTTTCTCATGAAATATACAACATGGTCCGCATCCATTGCAAAATTTTATGGACCCTGTATGATATCTCTTCAATGACATAGAAAAATTTGGGATTTTCTTTACGCGGAACGCATGCACCTTGTAGAGTGTAATCATTAAGCGCTAATGCAGTGAATGATCAGCCTCCAAATTATTCGGCAATTAGAAAACTTTTTTAAAACCTAATTATACTCCTTTATTAAGTATAAAATATAAAGAAGACGTGATTCTCTATTGATTGACTAAAAGAAAGCATATTTTTGTTTGTGGTTTCTATAAAATATATTTGAATTTCCAAGACTATCGAAAATCAATGGGAAAAAAGCATGCTACTTAAGTAGTCATATTTTACCGAGCACGCTTTCTACAGGAGAGTGAAAAGAAGTGCATTTAAAAGCTGACATCCTGCCGAGTCCAAAATGTTATAAGAGCATGCCTTATGATAATCAGTGTTATAACCGCGACCAAGTAAGCCTTCGTAATCGGAAACGCATTTCAGAATTTCAGCCAACATTTCATGAGATAGGTCACGCACTGTAGGCAACGCTCTAACCACCTGAGCTACGAGATCCCATCGGAAGACGTGAGTTCAATCACATTTAGGCCAAGTGACCCGCTCGCGCTACCGCAACTTCTGGAATGCACCAAATCTGCCCAAGCAGGCTTTCTTAAGCAGTCAATCTATAATCCACCAGAGGACCTTCAGGTTCACTTAGTAAATGGGCGTTTTGACAGGTTTTGAGCAATTCCTTTGAAATTTCCGTAGGCTGGGCGGATGACAGTTTGACCGTCGCATCCGACGATGCACGCCGTGTGCTCCACAGCAAGGCGAATCAGGCGCGGTGACTTGCGCTTGAATTAGTTTATAGTGGATGTAGACTGTGTTGCATCTACCACACTCTATCCTCCTCCTCCTCCTCCTCCTCCTCCTCCTCCTCCTCCTCCTCCTCCCCCTCCCCCTCCTCCCCCTCCTCCCCCACCTGAGCCAGGCGTTCAGAGTCAAAAATACCGGAGGCGGAAGGGGCGCAGGTGGATGGCGCTCTACTGCACGTCCCTGATCCATACACAAATTGACTAGGATGCTGGCCAATAATGACAGCACCACAACGGGTCAGAAAAGAGGAGGATGACTGAGCGGCCATGCTCACGACCCGTATACCCAGTGGAAGTGCAAGCGCATCTACCGGCAGGGTACCAGCTGTCGGAGAAATGCGAGCGCATACCAGGCTGTAAGTGCCATAGCTTGCTGATCCTGGTATAGTCGACGCTTACAGGCATTTTGGCCCAGAGGGGTGGTACATTTGCCTAGGCCGTCACCCTGGGTAACCAAACAGTCGTCGACTCAGAGGGAACAACCAAAAAGCACACACACGCACCCCTCAAATGCGTGAGAGTGCCACAAACCAGTTAAGACGGAGCCGTGACAGCCTGGCTTTCAGCCCACTAGTCCGCCACTCCACACAAACCCACACGCAACTGGGAAAACTGCGCGAACTGAGTCGGGACGTCAGCCGGCAGCCCTCCATGTCACGGCGCTTGACGCACCATGATAGTCTCGGGCTCAAGTCACACATGCAGCTGCATAGCCCAGGAGCCGAGAAACACACTCCTCATCTGTATGGGAGGTGGTTGGGCGGGTAATTTGGGTCAAATGGGATTAAACTCGCGGCCCCCGGTGGGGCTGCGCAGCTCAGATATTTAGAATGGTGGCTGTACTAAGGGTTCAAATCACGCCAAAACCGCTAATTTTTTTCATTTTCGTTTGATAAATTATTCAAAATCTCTCATTCATTTTGACCCACATGTGAAAATCTCGGCGCCTCGCTGGAATTCGAACCCACGCAGTAAGGGGAAGGCTTTAGTGCAGCCAATGCTCTAACCACTTGAGCCACGGGTCCCCGCCGGACGACGCGAGTTTAATCACATTTGGGTCAAGTTACCCGAACAACTTACTGCAATATCTGGAATCCACCAAATCAGATACAGTAAGTTGGGCGGGTAACTTGACCCAAATGTGCTTAAACTCGCGTCGTCCGGCGGGGCCTCGTGGCTCAAGTGGTTAGAGCGTTGGCTGTACTAAAGCCTTCCCCTTACTGCGTGGGTTCGAATCCCATCGAGGCGCCGAGTTTTTCACAGTTGGGTCAATATGGATGATTCAAAAATCTGCCAAAATACCTATTTATTCAAAATCTGCTAAACGTCCATTAACTAAGTGAGCCTGGTTGTCATATGGCGAATTAAGAGTTCTTCCTTTGGAAAGCTTGCTTGGTCATTCAGCAAGCTATTAAAGAATTGGTGGATTCCAAATGTTGCACGTGAATATTCCGGTAACTTGACCGGAAATGTTTAGAAGTGCAGCTTCCAGTGAGACCTCTTATATCAGGCGATTAGAGCTTTGGCTCTACACAAGCCTTACACTTGTTCGAATTCCACCAAAGTCGCCGAGTGCTTCAGAATTGAGTCGAATGAATTTGAGGTTTGGATTAGAGTTAGGAATTGTAGGCCGCAAAAGGTATATGGATAACTTAAAAAGTAGTAACTTTTATGTTCCGCATCGTTTTACTGCTCATATACGTTGTTAAGTCGGCAGTGTAATAAGCGCTGATTTATAGGAGTAATATACTTGTCCCTTAAAATCCCCTTACCCCCAATTCGTTGATATAAAATATTTCCAAAATGACTTTGATGAATTGTTGAGATTCGCTCTCCTAGTCTCCTTAGAAAGCAGAACGACTGTTTTTATGGTTTCAGGCGGACGTATGATCTGATCATCAATAAGCTAAGACCTAGAAGATTCAAAATTGAGGGAGCATTTTGCGTGACATACGAACGTGAAAAGGAAATATTTTTTAACAGTCACCTCGAGCTCAGAAGCCGAAGGGATATTCTAAATTTTGATAATTGCGTCGCGATAAATCAATTAAGAAGCAAACACTATGCAAGTTTGCCCATTTGGCGACAAGACCCTGAACAGGAAATATTTGAGGCAGTAATTTATACTTGATCGCTATATTCAAATGACTGCCTCACAATAGACCGAATGACACCCTCAAATTTCGATAATTATCCTCTTTTAGAATATGGCGAATTTTATAATCCAGTCAGGTAAGAAGTTAAATATGCCTGGCCTCGACGTTTTTGAACACGACAAGGACATTTGTATGAATATTTCCATTGCGCATTTGCATCCTTCAAAATTGTTGACTGAAGGCAGCAAGTCATGTACGTCATAAGCCAAAAGTTGGAGTAAATGCAACCAAAGATCGTAGGTCAATCGCAGGAGCGAGTTTTGCTCTGTGCAGTGTACAATAAATGAGCACAGAGTCTAGACTGACTGTAGTTCAGAAGAAGAGGATGTGATCATTGGAACAAGAAGTTTATTGGTCCGACGTTTCGGATTCTCACTCGAACCAGTCATCGGAGACGGTCGTAGTGATCGCTTCTTCTTCTTTTTCTTCTTCTTCTTCTTCTTCTTCTTCTTCTTCTTATTCTTTTTCTGCTTCTTCGTCTTCTGAAATGCATCCTAGAACTCGCCTGTTGGTTTCTATCAACAGACTGTGGTGTCATTACATTATTTTATTGTCGTCCCTGATTTGGCAGTTTTTGATCAACACGCCCTGCCCTAACGAGGAAGGCATTTCGTTCACACACACATGAAATGTCAACCAAAAGGAGACCCATATAGGGTTAATGAAATTTTGCAGTGGATTCGAGCCATTTTGTTAACTTTACAAGCCACATTGGTAAATGCAGAGACATGACGATTTATGAACGGTCCTTTCACGGTATTTAAAAGTCTCACGATTAGAAACATTTTAACACCAAATTATATCTCTCTTGCGAGTATAAAATTAAGAGAAGACGTAATTTTCTACCGAATGGGCGAAAGAATGAATATTTTTATGCACGTTTTCCATGAAATATAATTGGACTTTTAAGAGCATCGAAAATCAATAAGAAAAATGCGTGCTACTTACGTAGCCGTTTTTTACAATGTGTAGTTTCTGCATGCAATCGAAAGGAAGAGCATTCGAAAGTCGGCATCCTGGCGTAACTGAAATAGTAAAGAATTATGTTTCAGGCTGACTTGTTATGTAACCCAACTTACTTAATCTTTTCGAAACGAAAACACATTTCTGAAGTTCGGTTGACATTTCATGAGTTAGCCCACCTACTGTAGGTCGCGAATGCTTAATTGGCGTTGCATATCACCACCAGCACAAGCAGTACAAGATTAGTAAAATAATGCAAAATAATTATTCGGATTGTTTATGTGCAAACATATTACTTATTTTCCTAACTTATATGTTATCAAAGGCACTTTCTTGTGAAGTTATGCCATTCAACAGTTTCCTTTTAGCAAAGTCGGAACGGCCGCCATTTCTCTGGGGGAGAATTATCTCGTCAATGTTCAGCGTGAAAAGTCTTGTTTTTCTTCACATTTTGCAGAACCATGTGCAAATGCAAATAAAATCTGGATGTTACAGGTCCTTTTTTGGGCTTCAAGGCATACTTCCTAGTTTGCGAATTGGCATTTTATTATGAGCCTTAGCATGCATCCGTCCTGGCAGTCAGATTAATTTTCTGTCGGAGTCGATTGCAAAGGCGCACGATTGTTCACGTTTTAATTATTTGCAGTCATTTAGCATATGTCAGTGGCACAGTGATGACGGAAGGCAAGGAGATGCCGACTCGGAAAAAGAAAAATAAACCGAATCCGGCGAAAGCGCGTAAAATTTAATGAAGAAATTCAGCAGCCGTAGTTTGTTCTCTGATTGCTTAAATTCAGACAGGTTATGTACCAGCTTGTCGTTTTTGGACGGTGCCCACAGACGGGCCGCGGGGTCGATGCGCTGGACCAATACGGGGGCCATATTGGATTCTGGCAGGCGTAATCGGAATGCGCACCACAACAAATGCCAACAATTTAGGGTACGGTGACAGACCCGGTGGCCGGCAGACGTCGTGCACACTGGGACTCCTGCTGCCCCCATTGTTGTTGTTGTTGGTTAAAAACCTGGTCATTTGCAGTGTGGACCAGGGGGTGTGGAGTAGAGCGCCGAAGTGCGGGCTCGCCCGTACCACCCACGTGCGTTCTCCCCCACCTCTAGCTTTCTCGACTTTTTCTTGAAATCGGACCCAGGTGGGGGAGGAGAGAGTGCAGTAGATGCTGTGGAAGTCTACTACTACTATAGACTGAATTCACGCACAAGTCACCGTCCCTGCTCTCAACTTTTTGCGTAGCATAGGTGGACACTGTCGGAAACGACGGTTGAAATGTTGTTTTTGGATGAGGTTGGATTAGGCACCTTACGGCGTCTGTTCTCAGGCACTGTGTTGCGTATCACGTATCGTATCCTTCGTTTACTCTGGTCCTCACTTGGTTAACGCCCTAGCAGAACACACGTGGAAATCTTGGAGAAGCAGGCCGATCTATCATGTGGAAACACTGTTTGTATCGCCGACTCCGTGTTTAGATGGGCTTTTATGGAACACAACTTGGTGACGCAGTATTGTCCAGACGCCTGTGCAGAAACCGGATGTGTACGTGCATGGTGGCATCCCCAATGACAGAGGTTTCACGTCGTCGGGCCGATTATAGCGAATCAACACCAAGCGCCACATGCAAATATCTGCGAGGGATGCGGTAGCTACCAATTTTAATAGACATGCAGCGGCGTAGCAGCTGCGCACTGTAAATATTGTAACCCTGTGTGACTCATAACCTCAATCCGACTATATTTCTAATGATTGATTCAAGAGTGAGTCTGAAACGTTATAGAACACAGCTCTTGTGTCTGTGGTCATGTCTTCTTTGCATGGAAGTGGATGTCCTGTTTGACTGTTTTCAGACAACTGACTTAACCGAAGTCCTTGACCATAAAGTCCTTCGAACACGTATAACAGAAACCCGGAGGTTGCATACACAAGAAAATACAATATGCCACTTTGCATAAAGAGGCAGAAATGCACGTGGAGGTATCAGCGGCCATAGGTAAGTAAGGTGCAATTCACCAGACCGTCTCTAGTTTGGCCAAAATATGGAACGTTGGCTAGAGGATGTGTGTGTGCGTGTACATAAATATTTCGTCCATGCAGAGGAACCGTGCCGCATTTTTTGACTAAGGGTCAAGTGTGATTT